AAATGTATAGAGACTAAGTCTGAATCAACGATTGCGCCCATGTTTTGAAATAAACACGCAAAAGCAGCATTTCCTTCTGGTTAAAAAGACAGACAGTGCGTTCTTACAATCAACGACGATCCTTGTCGACCGCAGGAACCTACCATTTACGTTAGAAGTTAACGTCATTGTGTTTTCTTATTTCTTACGTGTTTTGTGATTTGTCATTGTGCTTTGCACTTTAGGACCACCTTAAAGAAGAAGTGTCAAATTTACTATTTCTTTCTTTGTACATGCACACACGCAAGCACACACTCGCACACACCAGATATTTCACCCCAATCAAACACACATCTATCTCCCTATTCTCCTCACCTGTAACGTGCCAGAAATTGCAGATATTATTATGACTTTGATGGGAACCTTTTATTTTCCCACGGGAGGACTCCACCCTCACAACTGGGGAGGGGCGAAACATATAAAAGGGTCCCTGCAAGAGAGTCCCACCAACCTTACACTCTGCAGCTACATACAGCAGCCTACACTCACTGTCAGAGCTCAGATGAGTAAATTATGTGCGAGACATTCAAGTCGAAAATTGGTGAAATACAGTGGACCTTGTGACGTCCACAAATATCCGTCAGGCAACACTGTCTGCAGAATACATAATAAAGACAGTGCCAGGGCCCACCAGGATGGCAGTGACTCGTTTTCACAGACAACAAGTCAGCTTTTGAGCTCCTCATTCCCAATTCAATACAGAAAATGATACTTGAAATTTTACATCCCTTCAAGAGGAGTCATTTCAAGTTGAAATGACTCCTCTTGAAGGGAGGCAGGTTTTGGGGCTGAAGAGGAAGGAGCTGGATGACATGCATTATTCAGGGCTCCTCATCCTGGTTGGGGTCTATAAGTCTATTGGTATGTGCTGTGTAGACACACAAACACCTTGTTTATATTAATTACATAAATCGATAGATATGTTGCTCATTGCTTGTTATTTGATCATGTCACACACATACATACACAACTTGTTCATACAAGTCATATCTTGTTTACTTTTTCATTTCTTGTTCTAAACATTTTTAACATTGCATAGATAAGGTTTACCTTCACTTCTAATCCTTATGACTCGCTTGCTTTTAAGTAAACGGTTCAATTTGACCCTGAACAGGAAAATGTGTCTCATTTCTTTTTATCACCCCATGAAAAAAAAAGTTTGAAACAAATGGTTTTTTTGAAAGGAATAAATATTATGTAAAACTTATGTATCTTATATTAAGAATTTTCCAATATATATACACAATATAGTTTGAACATGTATTTTTTTATGAAAAACGAGTGAAATATCCTTATAGAACGAACAACAACTTTGCACTAAATATTCATGCATAGTTAGTAATGGTGTAAGTAATGAGCTTGAAACAATTTTTTGGTTTCTGACAACTTTTTGATGAGTAAACATGCACCAGGTCAAATTGACCCAGGAACATTATTGCTGAACCTGACAAACGAACATAACAGGAGGGCTGAAAGAATTAAAACTACATCTCATTTTATACCTAAACTAAGCAACATTGGTTAATTTACAGCTATGATTATTTTACAAATATGATCAACAACAATAATTTTCATTCAAGAAAATGAAGCTACACGCAGTATAAAAATCTTAAATTACACAGAGCCTTTATCAACAGCAACACTGAAGAGATTTTTTTCACATTAATGCATCAATCACTATTATAATACACTGCTATATGATGAGTGAGATGAGGGTTAACTTAGGTAAGACGTGACATAAAAAAAACAACACAGAAGTAGCGGGCGGAGCAACAGTCAGAGTCCGATACAAGACACTATAATAAAAATATTTGCCTTTATCAATGCTATTTGTAGTCCAACGGAATGACAATATCAACAAATGAGCGGAGAACAACATCATACCGGTGAACAGAAAACGTAAAGCAGCTGTTATATAACGTGAACGGAGATCGTAGTGGTCGTGTGCAGACAGTCTATGCACCGTGCAGCAGTCACAGTATAAACGCCACCACAATCTCCTCGAGGTCAATTCAACGGAGAATATCCTGCCGCGTTCTCACATCAGCCCACTCGGACTTGCTTGTTTCTTCCCCCCCCCCCCCCCCCCCAAAAGTTATTTTCATCATTTTTGGAACGCAATTTTCATAACTTAAGCTAATTTGAACTGGCCATCAAGTTTGCCTCGAATTGACATGTTGCAAGAGTTTTTTCCTGATCCACTCGCTGATGATACGGACATAACCCATCGATGGGCTGAAATAGCCGTGCATGAACACCTCCAAAGCTGTAGACTTTATTCCAACCCGGCTTGGGCAGCTTCCTGGCTAGCGAGATGTTCCGGTGGACCTGAAAGAAAGATCTGCCAGTACCTTAATCTAGACTACATTAACCCTGTAGCCTAATGGCTTCTCTGCACCTGCTCCCTATAAAATCTAGAACATCATTTTATAATCCTTCTTATCACTTTCAAAGCTCTAAATGGTCAGGCACTATCTTAGCTTAAATAGCTAAAAGTGTCATATTACCCTTCGAGAACTTTACACTCACAAAATGTAGGCCTGGTACAGTCTCTAAATGTACTATGGGAGGTAGAGCCTTCAGCTAACAGGCCACGCCCCTCTGCTTTTTGTAACATAATAATAACTTTATTTATATCGCACCTTTAAAAGCAAATGTTTACAAAGTGCTTTGACAGACAAAACAAATACATCAACAGTCAGGACAACAATAAAGCAGACACCCACAGACGGGCCAAACAGAGAGTATAAACAGGAATAAGAGCGCTACAACAGGCAGGTAAGAAGAGGCAGTTAATGTTATAAAATAATACAGTAAAGGCAAATTAGTTTTAAGTCAACCAGGAGAGAACAAAATTAAAATTGAAGGAGATGACATCACATCACATGCTCTAAAAACAGAAGGAATAAGCAAGAGATGGTTAAATGAGTAAAGCAACAGAGGGCTGAAGAGTTAAACATTAAAAGGAGTAGGAATCAATAAAGACTAAGAGCAGTAAAATGAATACAGGACGGGATACATTTTTAAGACATTTAGAGAAGAGATGGATAAAAAGGTTAAAGGCAATAACTTAAGGAAAAGGAAGGGATAGATTAAAGAAATGATTAAAGGTGAAATCACATAAAAGCAAGTCTATAAAAATGAGTTTTAAGAAGCGATTTAAAAGATGTTACTGACTCTTATCTCCTCAGGTCATGCAATGGAACATAGGGGGTCAACATCTTGTCAGAATGGTTTTGATTTTGGAAATGGATCTGAGATGAATGAAGCATGTCTGGACAATTTTTTTTTATATGATAATCAAAGATGAGTTCTGAATCAAAAATAACCCGTAGAGTTCTGACTGTGGGTGTTATGTTAGAGGAGATAGGACCAAGGGAACTTTATATGTGGTTGATATGGGAGTTGGGTTAGTAGTTGAATAGAATGATTTTGAGTCATTTAACTGTAGAAAACTTTGGGCCATCCAACATTTAATATCTTTGAGACAGTTAAAAACAGCAGCTAGGTGCTGGGTTATGAAATCCCTCGGTCATGTCATGTCTTGTTTTATACCTGTGACATTAAAATGAATGCTGTTAGAGTGAACACAGTGTTGTTTAATAGATCTAGCTTTAGCTTTAATAATTATTCATACAGCACCTGGACTTGGTTGAATCTTTATCACAGCGCTCCCATCTTCTGAGACTTTGGAAACTGAGTAGTTTCTATTCATTGTGTTTTTTATTGGCCCATGTCTGAACAGCCTTCTCTTGTATTTTATTACTCTTCGGTGGCTGACGTCCCTCTGACCACTGGACAGATAGAGTGACTTGAGCTTCATCCTGTAGTTTAACAGAGGAAGCATACAAGTTACAGTTAATGACAATGTATTATAAGAAAGCTAGCACATACATACTCATGACATTCAGTTAAACTACCTTTTTGTAATGCACTTTAGTTTTGCAAAGATAGAAAATTATAAATAACTGTTGCGTTCCCTGTCTTGCTAGGGGATGCGGGGAACAACAAATATAATTACCCGGAATGAAGAAGTGGAGACCAGAATTTGTTATCAGAATAAAGAGGATGGATTTAATTACACAAGTAAACTACTGACAGCAAACAAGCTTTAACTGCATCAAAAGGTACACAATTGAGAAGCCCAATGGATAATTAGACAATCTGGCACTCCTGCAGCTGACTCCAAGCATATGAAATGAACTCATCTTCTTCACTGCCCACAGTGCCTTTTATTCTCCTGATGCATGCAGCCTATTGACACAGGTGATTCCAATTCTCCCATCTCCCCCAGAGAGGGGCGGAGCACCAACCTGTCAGACACAAAGAAACAGAGAGGGAGGGGAGACACGACACAGAACACAACACAACCCATAACAATGACATATGTGCTCTGAGTAGAGGACCCAATAAAAATGATTATGACCAAAATAGATAGAGAAAGTCAGTGATAATTTGAGACTAGCACAATCCTGAGAATTTGGCGTTCCTTAAAATTTTTCTCATGATCTTTCAACAACCATATTGGATTGGATCCATAATCTGTCATAATATACACACAATCAAACAAGAAAGAAAATCTATCTTTGACCAAGGCATAACTTATACATGCCTACTGTTACAGCACTTCAACAAGATATGCAGACATTAAAAACATTCATGCAGCAAAAATAATAAAAAATACAGCAAACAAAGCCACAAAATAAGTCATTGTTCTTTCTCGACCTTTCCATCTTTCACTTACTGAACCCAATTTTAAAATCATCATGTCTTCATATGAAGTGATCTTAAATTTATGATAATTTGCACTTTACTCAATGAAGCTACTTCAGAAAGGGATGACATCATCATCTGCATTTTACTTTGAGATCAGCGAGCAAAACAATTATTCATCTTCATCTTTTAGATTGAACCTTAAAGACATTGACAATAACAATTTGCTGTAAAATTGGAAAAAAATCAAATAGCCAGTAAGATTATGAATTACCTTTCGTTATATTCTGGGTTGAGATCTCTTTTCTTCACTGCTGTCTTCCTCTTGCTGGCTTTGTTTCTGTCGGGCAGCAGCATGAGGGAGACATAGCTGTCTACCCCCTCCTTACTTTGAGATGTCAGACCCCTGTACACAGAAAAACAAAACCTTTCTTATTAGATCATTTTACATGTAAAGGCACACATGTATATCACATTCCTAAGTATAATTCAACAAACAGGTTCATTTATTTAATTAAGAAACATTTATCCATGAGCCTATAAGGTTTATTTTTTTGTAAATGTTATTTCATTCAAACAAACAAGAAAAAACAAGAAAAACTAAAAAACTTAGAATCTTAAATTTTGAATGAAAAGGAGCAGAAAGAAGACTAATCTTGTAATGTCTGCCCCTCTTTCACAGAGCATTAATTAAAACAAAACAAACTTAATTCAAAAACAATTCAAAATAAAATAAATTGGCTGCAGGCAAACACAGCCACATCATAGGTCCTTGTTTACAATTAATTTTACACCGTACAAAGCATATCACAATATATTTTTGTCACAGCATCACGAAACAGAACAATACATCTCACTGACACATTTCCACATATTTCTTCAACAAACTGGCTTTAATTTTTCTTTTAAATATCATGTTTGATTTTGATTCTTTAGTTTCTCTGTGAGATTGTTCCATAAACCGATTCCTCTTATAGTAAAACAATGTTTCTCTCAATTTATTTCTGAATCTCGGTTTATTAAAGATCTCTGTTCCTTTTAAATTATAACGGTTTTCCGTCAGAAAGAAATACAAAGTAAAGTAAACCTTTAAGTAGAACATATGGACATATTTTACTATGAGATGTACATGTCAGGTTTTCAAACGTTCTTATGAGTCCTCCTCTGGACTTCACATCAGCCATATTAAATGTTGCAGCAGGAAGGCAAGCGTCACAAGCTAAAGCTTATGTTTGAAGTGTGTAAATGACAATGATCTATCTATCTGATCAAAGTTTAATCAGCACACCTGCAGCCATGAACGATGACGCTGAGCTTTCTCTCCTGCAAGGCGTATGACAGAGACAGCTTCACCTGCCCGTTTCCAGATAATGATCTTAAGGCAGAGCAGGGCAGAGTCCCTTCACTGATCATATCCACCATTTTGGATTCAAGAACCTATTGACAATAAATGTAGAACACAAACAACAGTTTCATCGTTCATCGTTTCTGATCAACTGAAGAAGAAAAAAAAGTAAACAGAACTTTCAGGTAAAGCTCCATCCAGATAGAACCACTGACCCAGAACCAGCTGTAAGCTTATTTTCCATTCCAAACACAACCCTCTTCTTGCCTTTAACAAAAATGAAAAGAAAGAAAAAAAAATCTTTAATAAGTGTGAGAGAAAATTGATAAAAAAGTGTACTGTATAAATACACTGTATAAATGTACAAAAATGAAGGACTACTTTTGTATGTGATTGCAGTATTATATTTTGTTCTTTTGAGATTCCTCTGGTCAAAAATGAATAACATTTTCTATGAGAGATTTTTAATTTACATTTTGTCCCTTACCCTTTACCTAAATAGCCACTACCTCTGTGCAAAACGAAATGGAAACAAGAAAAATCCGAAGAAAAGATGCTATCATTGGAGCAATTTAATTTTTTACTTTTGTATGAATTGTATAGAAAAGAAAAAAAACATTGTTTCACCAGTGCCAACTGTTTGTTGTTTGTGTTGACTTTGAGCAGGAAATAATTCTATTCTATTCTATACAATACAATGTATATAACAGAATACTGTGTCTTATTGCACTTTATTATATTATACTATGTTATATTTAATTTTGTATAACTGCACTTTTTTTTTAAAGATTTCTTTTGGGCTTTTTGTGCCTTTAATGGAGAGATAGGACAGTGGATAGAGTTGGAAATCAGGGATAGAGAGTGGGGAATGACATGCGGAAAAGGAGCCACAGGCCAGGCCTGAACCTAGGCCGCCCGCCTGGAGGACCACAGCCTCCACACATGGGGCGCACGCACCAACCACTGCGCCACCAGCGCCCCAACCTTAAACTTTTTGATCACACAAGTCACTTGTATCATCACTGGTCACTTTAACTTGCCATCCACTACACATAATTCGTAATTTTCCTGAATTGCTCAACTATTTATATTCTTTTGTGTATACATCCTATTGTTGTTTCTATCTGTAATCTCAATTTCCCCTCTTGGGATCAATAAAGTATTATCTTATCTCATCTGAAAGGTGACTCAAAGTTTTCTAAATCGGTACATATGTTGTCTTGCTGGGTTTCTTTAGCGAGATTGTGCGAGACAGATTTGTGATAGCACCATTTGTGTATAGCACATGTACAATGTTGATACCAGATGGCAACTACAGTATTTCCACATGAATTTCTCTCTCGGAGAACAATTTTCATGAAGTTATTGTGTTGTCTTTCTTGTACAGGATACAAACTTTACGGTATAGTGTATAAAAATGCAAAATCATACATGCATTTTCAAAATTGTTTTTTTTTTTCTTCTGATTAGTCTTGTTTTTGTTTTTTAATGAAAAATGACACATAGCTTTTATAGTACACAATGCATGGAGGCTCAGTCTTTCTTCTGGAAAGAGAATAATGTTTAATTTTTGCTGGAGTACTTTACAAACTAAGTAACAGATATTGTGATAAATAAAACTTTAAAAATTGTACAGAAAACAAGTCTGTGGGTTTTGTGTTATTTTCTCACATGTGCTGATGAATAGAAGAACACAGATGGGTCTGTGTGGGTTTGTTTAATGATCATTAAAAGACAAACATGATATCATATTACACGTTCAATCTATATATTCAACATGTATTCTTCCACCATTATAATCTCAACCAAACGTTATCAATCAACTGCAATAAATGGATATACTTCATGAAGAAAAGAACATTTAAAATGAAAGATTCAACATTTTGCTTCAACACAAACTCTTAAAGCTGTAAATGCGGCCCGCTGCACCTTAAATCATCTTCTACTTTTTAAGAACACTTTGAAGATTAGAAACAGCCAACTTATAGAATTGTAATATCTTCATTAATTTTTCCTTTTCTTCGTTTAATCAAACTTTTCCCCGTCACACGATGCCTTTAGCTTTCAGCTCGTCTCGGACTCTGCTCAGGTAACCAGGATCAGGATACCCAAAACTGTGGAAAAAGAACACTAAGGTTAATTTTTTTAACATTTTGGTGAACTTGACATTATTAACAGAATAAAGATAGAATAGAGAGAATGAAGATTTCACTAGCTTACCATTGTTGACCGCCCGAGATTGAAGTTTTGTGGTGAATATCGTTCCAAGTCACCTGGTTCTCCTTCCCGGTTGTCCTTGACGTCCCGACAGTGAAAATGAGCTTCTGATCAAAAGCTTTCTGCAACAGGCGCAGCACTTCATTGCCCTCTTTATTGTTCGGCAGATATGCTTCTCTGGAGATGCCCTCATAGCGCTTTCCAGGATTCGGATGCTTTTCCTGCAAAATGAGAGTTAAATACCCGAAAACTGACATCTGTGTAAGAAAATAACCGAACAGTTTAAAATGTACACTACACTTCCAAATAAGCTGAATCAGGCATTTACCGTCTGTATTCCACCTGGAATCCAATAGCTGATGACTATACAGCCACACTGTGGGTATCCAGGGAGGGAACTGTGACCTGATCTCCAGTTCATTTTTCCATCTGGCTGGTCTCCCTCCATCTTACCAAAGACATCTTTGCACAAAGGGCAGCAGGGTCCCAAACTTTTCTTTGATTGTTCCAGACATCCCTCACAAAACTCATGTTTGCACTTCAGCTGTTTCTTCTTTTTGAATGTGTCCATGCATATCGAACAGTTTTCTTCTTCTTTGGTGTCTCCTGCTGTGGCTCCCTCTCCTTCAGGTTCCTCAGTGTTGTGTGTGTTGTATCCTGGTTTTCTGTTTAATTCAGTTCCACTGGATGCCTCTTCTGACGCATGAACAGCACCAGAGTTCTTCAGCGAGCCATTGAGCACCGTGGCACCATGGGGCTGCTTGAAGTTGAGGGGGGAAGTGGCAATCTTCTGGTAAAGTTGGAGAAGAGCTCTGAGAGCATGGCTTTCCATTGATGCATTTCCTCCACTTCTCTTGTAGTGAGCTTTGACTTGTACTTGGCCTTGACTGGTGACTGATTCTTGAATGTCGACACCAAACTTATCTTTAATCATTGCTAATTTCTCACCAAAGGAAGTTTTAATCAGCTTCCAGTAGTTCTCCTCAATGCTGAGCCCAGAGTCGAGGAGAGGGTCTTTGATGCTCATACGGATGCTTGATGTGTATTGATGCGCCTCTGTAGACTCTTCAACAGAAGGGTTCATATACCTTGATGGACTCAAATAATTCTGGAGAGCATCAACAGTCTGGTTTGGCCCGCATACGCTCACTTGTTCAGAGGATAAAGTAAGCAGAAGCTTGTTCTCCTTCTCCTGGACGTTCTCCTGGACGTTTTTCAGTACGTCCATTAACTGTTTTGAATCTGTGTTCTTGAGAGAAAACTCTGCACCACTGAATTCATTCAAACACTTGGATACAAGGGTTTGGAAGTCAGTAGAGGCGTTTTGAATGCTTCCATTTTCCTGTGCTTTAAATGTCACGTGTGCATTTGAAGTTATTGTAACCTGATTCTTTGTCATTATATGTTCAACTTCATTTTTGTAGATGTGGTTCAAGTACCAGAAAAGGCCCATGCGAGAATAAGCGTCTCTTCATCTGCTGGGGAAACTGCTTCTGGACTGCTGGTATTACTTTGCTCCACAGGTTGCTCCTGGATGAAAATACAATGCACTCATCTCATGAAAGGCTTACATTTAAATGATTATTAATACCCAATGATTCTCCACACAGTACATACAGTTCGTGGCTTTGACCCAGGTGAAGGAGGAGCGATGTCTGAAGCCGCCTCTGCTATTTGTTTCTCGATCTGTTGGAGGGATATTACAAGTAGAGGTAGTCAGGTCATAACTTTGTTTCCATGGTTGTCCTGCTACCTGGACATAAATAACAAATGATTTAAACTGAATTAAAAGTGATTAATTTACACACAGTACATACATCTTGGGGCTCTGACTTGGATTGGGGAGGAGCAGAGGTTGTTGAAGTGTTGTCTGATATTTGTGTCTCCAGCCCTGGTGGTGCCAGCGTAATAGTCATGACTTTCACTGGTTTGCCATCTTTGACAGGCAGTGTTTGTCCACAAAGTTTCTGAAGCTCACTCAGGGCTAAAAAATAAAAATAAAGAATTTGCCTCCAAAAATTAAAAAGGAAAATGAATTTTTCAAGCAGGTATAATAGTATATGCTTCTTAAAATGAATGCTGTTAGAGTGAACACAGTGTTGTTTAATAGATGTAGCTTTAGCTTTAATAATTATTCATACAGCACCTGGACTTGGTTGAATCTTTATCACAGCGCTCCCATCTTCTAAGACTTTGGAAACTGAGTAGTTTCCATTCATTGTGTTTTTATTGGCCCATGCCTGAAGAGCCTTCTCTAGTTTTGTATTACTCTTCGGTGGCTGACGTCCCTCTGACCACTGGACAGATAGAGTGACTTGAGCTTCATCCTGTAGTTTAACAGAGGAAGCATACAAGTTACAGTTAATGACAATGTATTATAAGAAAGCTAGCACATACATACTCCATGACATTCAGTTAAACTACCTTTTTGTAATGCACTTTAGTTTTGCAAAGATAGAAAACTGTATGTGCTCTGAGTATAGGACCCAGTAAAAAGGAATATGAAGAGGCAGATAGAGAAAGTAAAGAGCCACACAGTGCAGCAGAGAGAAAGATGATCCTGTGATAATTTGAGACTAGAACAATCCTGAGAATTTGACTTTCACATTACAGGAAACTGACAACAAGCATGCAACATTTTAATGGCTTTTACCCAGCTGGAAAATGACCAAAATGGCAACACCCAGACGCCACACACACACACACACACACACACACACACACACACACACACACACACAAATAGCCTACTTACCACGTCACAATTGGCGTGAGACGTCGGAGCCTGTGAAAGCCACTGTACCAACCATGAGATAAGACATTCAAATCAATAAAAACACTTAACCTAATGATACCTATCTGTAATCTTTCATACTGTTTCAAAGTTCAACTCACTTCCATTTGTTCCTCTGGTTCTGACATTTTGAGTCCTTTTCCTGGAACACACATAACATACGTGACAACGATGGGAGCAATGTTTGTAGCAGCCACATCAATGAATAACAGTTGTATAGTTTAATTCTATAAAGAATATTCTCTGAAACTTTCTGATTTCCGCACAAAAACATATACGCCACAGCTCGACTGCACTTTCGGTTACGAAAGGCGAATGGCAACTTTTAAAGACTAACTTTGCCTTTCATTTTCTTGTATCACGCAATTTAAACAAAGGAATGCGTTACAAATATGTTGTCAACTTTCTTAAGAATACATAAGATGGTTTAACTTGAATTGTCGCATTTGTCTTACCTTCACCAGGCTTCACGCTTTAAACGCTGACTCTTCCTGTTAAATGAAAGCGAAAGCTGCGCGAGACATGTGACGTCACATTGAAGGCTTACACTATTACTAATGAAAAGTGTTTGTGGTCTTAAGCGAATTAAAACTATATCTTATGTTCTAAGCAACAATTTGAACACTTCGGTTAATTAACAGCTATCATTATTGTTACGAATATGATCAACAACAAAGTTTCTGATTCAAGAAAATGAAGCTACACGCAGTATACATGTCTTAAATTAAACAGAGAAAGATTGAAACGATTTTGTCACATTTATGCATCAATCAACATTACCCACTAATATAATACACATCTATACTGTGAGTGATATGGTCATTAGTACTGTTACTTAATGTAAACATCTGAGTAGGCTTCTTGTGCCGATAATGCAGAAAAGTCAAAGGGTGTTTAAAATATATACGTTTTAAATAGATGTGACATTTGATTTGTTGGAATAATACATAAAGTAATAGAAAGGGATAGGTATTTATAAGTTTTACTTCTACTTAATCCTTTTCAGACACTGTTACTTTGGTTTTGTTAGTTTTTAATCTGTTTTAATTTTTTGTCCAAAATAAGGTCTATCATTTATCCATATTTCACATAAAGTATATATATATATATATATATATATATACCACGCACAGACATTATTTATCACAGCAGATTAAAGATTAACGGGGTTAGTCGCTGCAGGAAGGATTTTAAAAAATGATTAGTAAAAACTTAATACAATACTATAGAAAATGAGCTGTGCAAAATCTGTTTATTTTTGTCATCATCTTTCAACAACCATATTTGATTGGATCCATAATATACACACAATCAAACAAGAAAAAAAAAAAATCTATCTTTGACAAAGGCATAACTTATACATGCCTCGTATAAAAGAAACATAATAAAAGTTCACCTTTAAAATAATTCTCAAACAAACAAAGCAAAGTGCGGTGAAAATAAAATAACTCCAAATGTAAACAAAATACTGATATGGCATTAGCTTTCATGATCAATCATGATCAATACATAAAAACACTAAGAATGTTACAGCACTTCAAACAAGATATGCAGACATTAAAAACATTCATGCAGCAAAAAATAATAAAAAATACAGCAAACAAAGCCACAAAATAAGTCATTGTTCTTTCTTGACCTTTCCATCTTTCACTTACTGAACCCAATTTTAAAATCATCATGTCTTCATATAAAGTGATCTTAAATTTATGAGAATTTGCACTTTTCTCTTATGATGAAGCTACTTCAGCATACTGACTGTATCTTTGGTGAGAGTACTGACGTGTGTGAATATACAGTGCAGTGATTTCCGCACTATACTGTGTACTAATACAGAGATCTGGGTGGATGCAGGTAAGGCTGTCACAGTGGTTGTGTATGCAGAGGAGGGAAGGAGAAGGCATCTGTGTGAGCTGCAGCAGTGGAACATTATTGAGCAGAGGGACGACATCATCATCATCATCATCGACATTTTACTTTGAGATCAGGGAGCAAAACGATTATTCATCTTCATCTTTTAGATTGAACCTGGTGTAAATAAAGAGATATAATTAGTAAAAGAAAACAGTTGATTAAATCAATTTGCATTTTAAGGTGATTTTAAGTGATACTCTGCTCCAAATGTCCACAGAAACTTTTCATTCTAAGCTTGAGGGATAAATAATCTCTCTGATGTATGTTCTCTATATTTAATGTTTTACAAAAAGTCCATGTTTCTTAGAAATAGTAAAACCCCGCTTCAGCTTCCTCAATGCTTCTCTTGAAGAAATGAACATAGCAATCATTTGAGGAAACCAGCCTGCTCACCATTCTGTAACACCAGAAGTCAGGTCCATCTGGGCCAACTCAACCTGCACCTAAAGAGCAGAAATGAAAAATTAGAGACTGTACAGTACAAAAGAGTATTTCACTGATTGTAGTCAGTGCACCTCAGAGTGTAAGAAAAAAAAAAGAATAGACAATCTTAAAAACAATCATGTCCTGAATGTAAGTGAACCGGCTCAGCTAGCAGCTGTTCAAGGTCAAATGATCTTTATGTTAGGTGTGGATGTTTGTGATGTGGATCTTTTAAGCCATATTAGAGTCACAGGTGGAGTTTAGCTTCAGACTGACCTGTCCAATGACGTCACGACTCCTAAAGGAGGCGGAGTTATTCTTCACCGATACACTGAGGCGTCTGAATCTCGTCTCATCCACAGGGAGATCATACTCAAACCTTAAAGACATTGACAAACACAATTTGCTATATAATTGGAGAAAAAAACAAAAATCAAATAGCCAGTAAGATTATGAATTACCTTTCGTTATATTCTGGGTTGAGATCTCTTTTCTTCACTGCTGTCTTCCTCTTGCTGGCTTTGTTTCTGTCGGGCAGCAGCATGAGGGAGACATAGCTGTCTACCCCCTCCTTACTTTGAGATGTCAGACCCCTGTACACAGAAAAACAAAACCTTTCTTATTAGATCATTTTACATGTTAAGGCACACATGTACAACAAACTGGCTTTAATTTTTCTTTTAAATATCATGTTTGATTTTGATTCTTTAGTTTCTCTGTGGAGATTGTTCCATCAACCGATTCCTCTTATAGTAAAACAATGTTTCTCTCAATTTATTTCTGAATCTCGGTTTATTAAAGATCTCTGTTCCTTTTAAATTATAACGGTTTTCCCTTTTTTCAAGTCTGTTTTGGATGTTTTTTGGCAATGTTTTCTGATTAGCTTTACACATCATTTGTAGAATACTGTAATCAACCAATTCATGAAATTCAACAACTTTAACTGAATATCCATTTATGACTTTATCAGCAGCAGAAAGAAATACAAAGTAAAGTAAACCTTTAAGTAGAACATATGGACATATTTTACTATGAGATGTACATGTCAGGTTTTCAAACGTTCTTATGAGTCCTCCTCTGGACTTCACATCAGCCATATTAAATGTTGCAGCAGGAAGGCAAGCGTCACAAGCTAAAGCTTATGTTTGAAGTGTGTAAATGACAATGATCTATCTATCTGATCAAAGTTTAATCAGCACACCTGCAGCCATGAACGATGACGCTGAGCTTTCTCTCCTGCAAGGCGTATGACAGAGACAGCTTCACCTGCCCGTTTCCAGATAATGATCTTAAGGCAGAGCAGGGCAGAGTCCCTTCACTGATCATATCCACCATTTTGGATTCAAGAACCTATTGACAATAAATGTAGAACACAAACAACAGTCATCGTTTCTGATCAACTTAAAAAAAAAAAAAAAAAACGTAAACAGAGATGTTTCTGATTCCAACCTTGAGTTCAGCCCTCAGCAGGATCTGACTCTCAGGTAAAGCTCCATCCAGATAGAACCACTGATCCAGAACCAGCTGTGGCTCTCCAAGCAGCTCCTTGACAGGCACAACCAGCGATCCCATTGGCTGGTCCCAACCACTGGACAACTGCAACGGGAGAAAGAGTGAGATAGAATAGAAAAGGGAAAACAACTCCTCATTATTACTGCTGTCTATGTGCAGATACTTGAACAAAAATATGTACCGTAAATAAATGTCCTATTACCTTAACTACAAGCATCTGACGTTTTGGATCATGAACCAGGAAGTAGAAAGACTCATTCCACTGAGGGCTGGTACTGCGGTCACACAGCTTCAGAGAGATTTTTAAGGAAAAAAAAAAAAAAAAAGTATTACAATGATAATTCTTCTATCTGACTCACTACACATGACTGTGCATCACTAGTCTTACATTCGTTTTGTAGGTTGTTTCTCCGAGAATAAGCTCCGCTCCTGCTTTTGGCTCTTTTCCACTCTTTTTCAACTGTCAAGAGAGAAAGCAGCATACACATTTCATTATACGACCAACTATTCTTTTTGTTTTACTTCTGGACAGTATGAAAATAGAGAGCAGGGGTCTTACAGGTAGTGAATGAGCACTCTCCATGTGGACAAAGAGCAGAGCGGCAGTGGGGACAGCTTTGTTCTGATAAGTCTGGAGAGATTGAAGCTGCAGTACCTGTGATGCAGAGCACAGCGAGTCAGGTGTGATTATCATGGTGTTGGAGCTGGGGGGGGGGGGGGGGGGGGGTGTTTACAGGTAAATATTTACCTGGTCCAGTCTGTCTGGATTTGCCACAGCAGGAACCCATTCCAGTATCAAGTGAACCCGACCAGATTTCACATCATTCAGAGTGAACCACTGCAACAGGGACGGAGTCAGTTAAAGAACGAGTGAACAACAACATTTAAATAAGGAAATGAAAAGGAACAGAGTTTAGAAATCACAAGACTTAGATTATGAAATGTTGACTAACCTTGTCCGTGTACTGGGATCGCATGACCTCATTAAGTTTGACACTGAACCTTGGAGCGACAAAACACAACTCTGTTTAATTACTTCAGTGTCTAACTTCCAGAAACAAACAAACAATGACAAACAGCACAACTAATCTCTCCCAGTCTGTTTCTTGATTTAAAAAACAAACAAACTATATGAAGCAGAAAGAAATGAAGCAGGGGAAAACAAAGGGGGGGATTTCTTTGTCAGCACTTATGGATAAAAGTGCTGACTTCTTTAGAGTCCCTGGTTTATCTTCGTTTTAATTACTCACATGCATATCTGTAAACACGTGACAACATTTCTTGAGCAGTGATATAAGCAACTTATTAAACAAGGTTAGGAAACACACCTGCCAAGGAAGTCATCAGAATCGAAATCTTTATCGAATGCTTCAAACTTGATCTCCTGGAAACTGTTTCCCTCCAGAACAACCTGTTAAAAAAAATAAAAATAAAAGGCCATGTTTGTACGGGATACTGACCCCACAGTGACATATGGACACATTTGAACACTTAGGCCTCTTCTTACCTCATACATCTCATTCCACGTTGGGTTGAGATTCTCCTTGATAACATGACTCTTGAATGCAACATCCCCTATCTTGATCTTCACATAGGGGTCACTCTTGCCCTTCACCATGCCCCCCATCAGGTTGTCCTTGGCAACCAGACTCTGTGCCTCCAGCAGGTGGATCCTCAGTAGCCCCTACAGGATGAAGATTGTAAGTGCTGAAACCATACAGTGAGTCTGCCAAGCACAAGGCTTATATTCAACTTCCACTCTGCTTAGCAGTGTGGGAACTAACCCCACCTCTTTTGCAAAGTCCTGGCTGGGGTTGGTGTTTGGCGGAAGAACTTTCCCGGCTTTCGGGATTTGTGGGACGTCTGCTGGACCCACAGTGTTATCAGGAAGACCAGTCACAGTTGCCTGAGCAAGGTTTCCCAAACCAGTTCTACACACAAAAACACAGAGCAAGATTTCCTGTTAGGTATCTTTCTTCTTCTTTATCTCTGAAATAAAAGGAAAACATGTTTAATTTGCCTTAATGTGAAACCCACCCCTCTGTTTGTATTTTCTGCGGTTCAAAGTCTCCTTTAGCTGCTATGTCTGAATGAGAGGAAGGCTCCTCTATATCAGCTGGTTCCTCGACATGCAGGGGAATAACATGAAGGTTATGATGGTGACAGCAGACAGGTTGAACATAGTAATGAGAGACTACCGTGTGCTATGACTCACTATGGCAACAGGGAATGTATCAGAAGTGCTGTGAATGTCTGCAGGTTCAGCAGGAGGAGCATCTTCTTCTTCTTCTTCTTCTTCTGCTGTTACTGCTTCAAAGTGTTTGAACTGGCTAGGTGCACAAACAGCTCTGAAAATACACACTGCTGTCACAAAACACTGAAAACTGAAGCATTCTGAGTGGGACTAAAATTAGGTAATGTTACCTTTGATTAGTCTCACTTGGGTTAGGAGGAGTGTGTTATCGGGGCCTTTTTCTTACACATATCATCCTTCTGTTCCTAATCTAGTCTACAGGTACTGCACTTTTAATGTAGTGTTTACTTGATGCTTACTTGATTTGGAGAAATACTTCATTTTGTGGTTTGGAAGTTTTGAATAATTAAAATGTTAAGTCTGCAGAGTTTGATGTAAGTATTATCAAATAGGGCACATAACACTCACTCGTCTGCTGGCAGCTCAGAGCTTTTCTTGTCCTCACTGGCTGCTTCAAATGTCTGTTCGGTTGAAACGAGCGTCTCTTCTTTCTCTGAACCAGCCACAGAGGGCTGTGGCGCTTCATTCATCCTTGAGCTGAGGATCTGTCAACAATGTTGATATACAATTGGTTATTTGGTGAATCCATAACTTGTAATATTAGTGTGTATGTGTGTGTGTATTCCCTTGCCTTGAGTTCAGCCCTCAGAAGGATCTCACTCTCAGGTAAAGCTCCATCGAGAGGCATCCACTGATCCAGGACGAGCTGGGGTTCAGAGAGCAGCTCTCTCACAGGGACTACAAGAGATCCCAGAGGCTTATCCCATGCACTCGACAGCTGCAGAGGTAAGGACCATGAAAAATGTCGGTCAGAGGCTGAGATTTCCCTGACGCTGGCAACAGTCTTCACATACAGCTTGCATACAGAGTTGTGATAAAACTCACCTTCATTATGAGCATCTCCTCTCTGGGGTCACGCACCAAGAAGTAAAAGGCTTCACTCCACTGAGGTGACTTGGAGCGATCACATACCTTCAGATAGAAAAAGAGGAGGGGAAAGTTTTCTTTTGAACTGGAAATAACAATAACAAATGATAAATGATCTTTACTCAAGTTGATCTTCATTTTATATTTTCAAAAGGTTATCTGAAGGGCATAATGATGTTCTAGCTGTCAGTATATAAATCCCTGTGTATTTTTGAGTGGCACCAGTTGGGGGCAGCAAAGTTGAAGTAACTTTACTTCATGTAGACCATTAATTCGATCTTAAACCATTTACCAGCTCACCAGTTTGTGATGAGGAGTTCATCGTGATTTATAACCTAAATTATTTATTGATTGTTAATATTAATACAATTTTTAATGGTTTCATCCGAAGCAGGGAAAGCTGAAGTGTGTTTGTTCAGTGTTGTCATTGTCTGTTACATACCTTGGTTTTGTAGGTTGTGTCACCAAGAACAAGCTCAACCCCGGCCTTGGGCTCCTTTCCACTTTTCTTAAACTGGACACGGAAAGACACAGAACAAATGACCATATAGAAATAGTTTGTAATTTAATCGAGGCCAGAGCTCTGTTTCTTTAAAGCAATAAACATTCGTGACTCAAACTGCAGCATTACACTTTCCAACAATAGTAATTTTGTAGCAAAGCATGCTGCATTTAATCCAGTGTTAAATTTAAAAAAATATCTTGTGTTTTTTTTTTAACTTACTGGTAAATGCAACCTCTTTTTTTTTTTTTTTACATGTGCTTTCTAAACTCTATATAAAATTCAGAGACAGCAAAATTGTAGTTGTAACCAACAGGACGTAGCACAGCACATGGCATTGTATTTTGTTACCAATTCACCAGACTACTAAAGAACTTACAGGCAATGAGTGTGCTCTGTCCACATAAACGAAGAGCAGCGCTGCAGTGAAAACGGACTTGTTCTGGAAAGACTGCAGCGACTGCAAATGCATCACCTGCAGCACAGAATGAAACCATTTGAAGGGCTTGGTACTGATATGTACAGTGGACTCATCAGGGAATGAGGCTTAGAATTGAGCAAATCATTGAGAATTACAATATATATACCGTACATATACTGTATATACAAAGATCATTCATTTCTGCATGAATATGAGAAGGAATATAAACAAATGATGATTAAAAAATGTCACTAACTTGGTCGAGGGTTGCACTGTGGGACACTGCTGGTACCCACTCCAGTATGAGGCGAATGCATCCGGACTTTACATCATTCAGGGTGTGCCACTGAAACAGAGACGTACACTCACTGAATTAAAGACTATAATTACACAGCAGCAGTAATTATAAGATCCAGTAAAGCATGTAATGCTAACCTGGTCTGTGTACTGGGAACTGATGATATCTGCCACACTGATTTGGAATCTGCTCACAATGAAAACATTTAAGCACATTTTACACATCATCCGTCCTGACAATGATCTATAACATTTCATCTACACTATTAAAACGGTGTTATCATGGCTAAAGAAAAAAACACAAAGCAGATTCAACCTCTTTAAAAATACACCACATGGTCATTTGGCTGTCTATTTATTTTTGGTGTTACTACAGTTTGGGCCTTTAAAACGGGCCCACATAGTCAGACAGCTAAAACATTGCTGTTGTCCATTACCTGCCAAGGAAGTCGTCTTTGTCCATGTCTTTGTCAAACAGCTCTACCTGCACCTCCTGTCCTGACTGAGGCCTCAGCACTACCTGAGGGAGCACAGAACAGTTCAATCTCTGACATTAAGGTGGTTCACATGATTTGTTTTCATAATCATCTTGATTTGAAGTAATGCTAAAACTCTAAATTCCCGTATTCCTACAAACCTCATACATCTCATTCCAGACTGGGTTCAGATTCTCCTTGATCACTTTGCTCTTGAATGCGACCTCTCCGACACTATCTTTGCATAGGGGTCACTCTTACCCTTTACCATCCCCCCCATCATGTTGTCTTTGGCAACCAGGCTCTGGGCCTGCAACAGGATTATCCTCAGCAGCCCCTACAGGAGGATATCAAACTTTAGAATTATTTTGTTTCTTTTTTTACATTTAAAGGAGAAATGTCCTGTAGAATATATCCACCACTATGTGTTAATCATACCTCACTGGCGAAGCTGAGATCTGGAGACGTGTGAGGAGGTAGTGCTATGGCAGAGCTGGCTGATTCTTCAACCTTTTCCTCAATCACATCCGCTGCTGTTTCCTTAATGTCAACATCCTCATGTGAGGAGACTATAGTCTCCACAGGAGGAGCGTCCACTGAACTTGACCTAAAATCAGTAAAAGAAGCAATAATTACAGGAAACAAAATAAAAATATTTAAGTCAGCAAAAACTTTCAGATAAAACTATCTAACCTCAGAACTGTTTCTGTTTCCTTTTCAGGTGCAGCAGGAGGTTCTGGCACTGAAATGACTTTGCTAGGAATCAGCATCTGTAGTTTAGAAACAAAGGAACAAGGAAAAAATATCAAAATAAATATTAGACATTGTTAAAAAGATGAAAGGAAATACAGAATAAGTCTCAAAGAGATGTTACAGCCAAACAACGTTTAAGACCGACTAAAAGAAACAGATACAACAGCAGAGGGATTGGAGGAAGAGACACAAACATGAGCTGTTCTCACACATGTACTTCTGAAAATTTCTAGAAAATGTCAGACAGCCTGCCCCTGAAATCTTCCTGAGTTCTTCATTCACAAGGGGGGGGGGCATTAAATAAAATAAAGAATGCTTCAAGGTGGCTGAGAAGCATCACAGTCTGTTACCATGATGACCGTTTTTGCCTTAATATCAATGCTACACGTAATTGGAGGTGAAAATCTTTTGTTCTCAGCTCGACATGGACATTTTGGGAAGTGTTGAGAGGTTTGGGTGCATGTGTGATCAGGGCTATAAAGTGAGAGTGGTGGTGAGAAGGAAACTTAAATACAAACAGAGAACAAGACAAAGCATCAGACAATGAGTTCTCTCACTTTGAGCTCAGCCCTCAGAAGAACCTGACTCTCAGGTGTGGCTCCGTCCAGATGGAACCACTGGTCCAGGACCAGTTCTGGTTCAGAGAGCAGCTCCCTGATGGGAAACACCAGGGAACCAATGGGCAAAGTCCAGCTGTGTGAAAGCTGAAGGAAAGTATTGTAGGCTGTTAGCACAGGTATTATTGTGCATTGTTTCATCTGAATTAGTGAAACTCTTTCTGGTTATCTTTAATATGCACTAAAGGTTCCTTACCTTAACTACAAGCATATCTTTTCTGGGGGTCTTTAACCATGAAGCAGAAAGCCTCATTCCACCGGGGTGATGTGGTACGATCACACACCTGATGATACAGTGACAGATATAGTGACACACTTACAATATTACGATCTGTAAATTGGAAATATCAGACAAAACACTGCCAAAAGAAAAGTTTAAAGTCTTACAGTAGTTTTACGGGACATTTCTCCAAGAGTAATATCAGCTCCCACTTTTGGCTCCTTGCCGCTCTTTTTAACCTGCAGAGAGAGAGAGATAAACCATTAGAATAAAAGCATAAGTATAATAAACATGAACTGCATATCCTGACATCATCCTTAGCATCAATAATCTAAAAGACTTACTGGTAAGCCATCCGCTTGCTCAACAAAGAGGAATAGCAGGCCCGCTGAAGGGACTGCCTTGTTTTGGTAGGACTTTCTGGAATAGAACTGAAGAACCTGAAAACACAGGAAAGAACATGTGAGTATAGATGTAGCTAAGCAGCACAGGTCCATTGGTTTATGACTTATCTGGAGAATACACACCTGGTCAACTCTCTCCGACTCTGAGGATGTTGGAACCCATTCCAGCACCAGGTGAACCCGACCTGACTTCACATCACTGAGAGTGTACCACTGAGAACAGAAACAGAAACATGAATGCAACATGCATGTGGTTAGATCATATTACTTCATTTGACCAAACTCTTTAAAGCCAAACATGCAGCACTGTGTTTGTCAAGGAAGATCCCACCTGGTCAGTGTACTGAGAATCAATGATGTCCTTCAGATTGATCTTCAGTCTGCATGTCAGAAATGGGGGTATAATGTAGTTTAGTTGAATGAAGTCATCATGTTTGATAATCAAACTATTGATAAGTACTGTACCTGCCCATGAAATCATCCTTCATGTCCATGTCTTTATCAAACATCTCCACATGCATCTCCTGGCCAGGCAGCTGGGTGAGAATAACCTGAGGGGTGAACAAGACAGCACATTTCAAAACTCAGCTTCCTCGCTTCATTTCACAACAATCTTCCAATGAACATCCTTATTCTACTTACCTCATACATCTCATTCCATGTGGGGTTGAGGTTACTCTTGATCACCTGACTTGTGAATGTTTCACCCCCAATGTTGATCTTGACGTAGGGGTCACTTTTGCCTTTCACCATGCCCCCCATCATGTTATCTTTTGGAACAAGATTCTGCCCCTCCAACAGGTGAATTCTGAGTAGTCCCTGGAAAATAGATCACAAACAAATTGACATTAGCAATTCGCAAAGAAAGCCATTAGTCAGAATCAAAATAGCATGGCTCTTTGTTACCTCAGTGGCAAAGCTAGGATGTGGGGAGGTCTGTTGGGGCAGCTGTTTATACAGTCCACCCTCCAGATTAGATGACACATCAGATGGAATATGCTCCTCATCTAAATACAGGACCTATGTGCAAAAGAATTAAGGAGACGTAGAGAGAAGAAAATTATTATCCAACAATTTGTTATCATGAAATTGCTATTAAAAACAATTCCGTTCTTTTAGCCACTAATTGTTGTTATGTAGTGCAGAAGGAGTGAAATGATCTTGGTGCCTTTTTACCCTGAGAATTGTGTTGATGTAGATGCGACTGGCTGACCCAGAGTTGTCCAACTGGAACCACTGGTCGAGCGAAAGATTAGAATTGGACAGCAGGCGGGACAAAGGGATGGTTAGACTGCCCAATGTCTGCACACGGTCAGCGTCCTTCACCTAATTTGTTTCAATGTGAAGGAAAACCAAAATAAAAAAGACCACAATTAGTTCAGTTATCAGAATCCCAAACACAAAGTCCAGTGCAGAGTTGAATCTTCTGAGCTATTACCTGAATGTCAATGTTCTGCTTGTGAGGATTGTGAATGAAGAAGGTAAAGGCTTCCTCCCACTCTGGGTCAACAGTTGTGTAACAAGTCTACATGCAAGAACAAAGAGTATCCTTTAAAAACAAGTGAAAACAGATTCTACAGTATTGTAATGAAAATGCCCACTTTGTATACCCTGCTCTCTCTTGTGACGTCCTCCACAGACAACTGAACCATGGGATTGGGCTCTTTATTTCCCTTTTTCATCTAAAAGACACAGAGTTAAAGATAAATATGAATACACAGTTAGGCATGTAGACAATGATGCTCTGTAACCAAGTGCAGAGCAAAAATAGACTTATCTTCCATGTTGAAAACACGTGGTCGACGTGAATTGTAGTGTGTACGAGGCTACCATAGCAACAGCAAAAATAACCAACAGGAAGTACCAGAGCACATGGCATAATCAGGAAGTACAATCTGCATTGTATTAAACCACAACGACTGAGTTTCCTTTCAAAGAATCTGCCACTAATGTTCCCTTTTATGAATGATGTGACAGCAGAAATGAGTGTCTAATAGCCTTAGATAAAGAAAGCCTCACTGAAGCAGGTGCAAAGGGTGTGGACGGGGTTATAGGCCAAGGCAACAGCTTTGAGGAATGTTAGACAGGTGGTAGTCACAGTTCTGCCTCAGTTCGACCGCACGCAGGAAACAGCACTTAGCAGACACAATTGTGGGCACAGAGAGGGTAGAGATATTTGACTCACAGGAAGTGCCTCAGCCTTGTCTAGATACACCACCAAGATGGCAGAAGAAGGCGGATCACCAGCCTTACTTCTAATGCTTTCATTCCTCTTCATCACCTGTGGGAGAATTGCAAATAGTTTGAATAATTTATCAAAGTAATAAATTGCCCTGAATGCCACATGAAAATGTAAAACACTCTAAAGTCATCTATGATGCATTAGTGGAAATAGGTGCTTCAAACCTGCTCAAGTCGATCTGTGTTTGGCAGTAAAGTCAACCACTCGAGTCGGAAATGAACCTTTCCTGATGTTGTGTCTTTTAAAGTGAACCACTGGAGAGACAGCAATAGGCATACATTAACGATTCAAAGTTCAGACTTTTCTTTATTAGAATGGTGACTACAACAAAAACTGCTTTGTACTTACATCATCAACAACTATGGATTTTTTCACAATGCCCAAATCCAATTTGGTCCTACAAGGAGGAAAAGTGGGCAGATGAAAGGTGACAATGCTTGATTTAACATATGCACACAAGATACATGAACTATGCATTATGTACCTGCCCAGGAAATCATCCTGGTCTGGGTCTTTGTCATATACCTCCACCTCCAATTCTTGACCAGGCACTTCATGGACAATGACCTGATGTACCAGACACACACAGGGACATGAGGACTGACAGGACGATTTATATGGAAGCTGGCTGTGGCCTCATGTGACCATGAATGATATGAAAATTCGCAGCACTATCTGTAACAGTTTAATCCCTCAAACATGAACAATATGAAATGATAAATGATTCTATGCAGAGAAATGATGACAACAATTCAAAACTCCCCACTCCCGTTTTTTGTGATCAAAGTTTTATTCATAACCCCCCTTTGGTCTTACCTCATACATCTCTTCCACTTAGGGGAGTCTGTGTTGTCAACGTCCCTCAAACATAGAACAATATGAAATGATAAATGATTCAATTCTTCTCACGCCTTTATATGCAGAGAAATGATGACAACAATTCAAAACTCCCCACTCCCGTTTTTTGTGATCAAAGTTTTATTCATAACCCCCCTTTGGTCTTACCTCATACATCTCTTCCCACTTAGGGGAGTCTGTGTTGTCAACGTGTTTGGAGGTGAAGGTCTGGGGGCCAACCCTCAATATGGCATAGGGGTCAGACAAGCCAGCCATAACCCCTTTCACATAGCTGTCCTCTGCTGCTAGATTCTGTGCCTCGAGTAGATGTATGCGTACCATTCCCTTAAAAAAAATAAAATTAAAAAAAATTTAAAAAAAAAGGGAAAAAGATGTAATAGAACAGCACTGACTGAGACATGAAATGAAATGATTCTCTACATCCATGTGTATTCACCCTGGGCAAAGGGGAGCGTAGTTGAGCCACATGCAGGCCTGCAACCAGAGGGACAACTAGGCGGTTTGGCAGAACCAAGAAGGACGCGATGGCATCCATAATCATGCTGTCAGACATGACACTGAGACAAAAGAGAGGACGCATTTCAATGAAAATCTTCGGCCTGGTCTATGGTCTGATAAAACCCGCACATGAATAAAATGGTGTTTATAATAATAAGGTTGTTGCTGTGTAAACCTATGAAGGGTTATTTCAGTACGACTCACTTCAGTCCAGGAACGTCCAACAAATTAGTCAGTCCAGTCCAATTGATGTCTAGTTTCTGGAAGAAGATAAGACACAGGAATGTTGTGTGTGTAGCAGAACAGCCTGGACTGATGAGAAATCAATAGAATGAAAAGGATACGAGTCCATATTGAGATACATGATAGTCACAGGGATGGGGGTAGAGGGCAACAATAAAAGGACATGTAGAGGTGAGTTTAAATGGACATACAGGCCGACGGATGAAAAACATGGTGACTGCTCCCACTATGGGCACATCTCCAATCAGAGGCTCCAGGATCACGCGCATCATCCCATGTAGCTGAAGAAAGAAGGGATGTTTGTTAAAAAATATGGATACATGTTTACAGAATGGCAAGTTGTTGTCAATGTTTTCAGTTATCTCTTTAGTAAGGCAACATATCTGTATGAATGTCTTTTTTTTTTTTACTCTGCAACAAAGTCAAACAACACTTTGAACTCTAAAGAAGACATACCTGTATTCCTTTGACTCCAGCTTTGCAGAAGTACCTCTTCACCTCGACATTGATCTCTACATTGCCAACATAGCTGAAAATGTAAAAACCAAAAACGTGATTTTCAACAATCCTTTCTTTACGTTCGAAAAGTGTGGAGGGTGACTTTTAAATCCAAAGAGCAGATACAAATGGATTCACCTTATATACAAATCTAGCAGGACTTGTCCTTTATCGTTCTCTGTGTGTGCCTTGATCCCGACAACCTTCATGGCCTGGAGCAAACAGAAAGAATATTTGTTTTGCACAATATGATCGACATGCATCAGTTAACATAGGTGTGCTCTGACTGAGCTATTTCTGGCCTAACCTTGGTTCCCATGTCCACTTTAGTGAAGCTAAGGGTCTGGAGGTGAGTGCTGGAGCCTCGGATGGATGGAGCAATGGTCTCCACAAGCAGCTTCTCAAGGTACTGGCCCACAAATGGCCACACCTGCTGCAGCACCTATGTAAGCCAAAAACAATTTGGTTATAAGCTTTGAATCTTAATAAGACTCACAATACCATATACAACGTACAATACCATACAGTATACGATGTACAATACCATATGCACATGCCTGCAACCAGAGACTACAGCTTAAAGTAATGTTGTCATTTAGGCCACATAGCAATGAAACTATCTGTTAAATTCCTCAGCTTCCTTTAGCAGCAGCAGAGGACTGGCAGAGACAGCTGTAGCCAGCTCAGTCTTATCAGCTGTTCCTTTGCTACTTCAGGTCCTTACATAATTCTATATTCTACCTTTACGGTTTAAACAAACGGGAAATTCGCCACATAAACGAGGAAACTTTTTTTTATCCATATAGGGGAAAGAGACAAAAGCAGCAGCTCAGTCTGGTTGTGTGCTTGTGAGACTGTGAAAAAAAATCCCTCGAGTTGGTTTCAGTCTGGCATAAGTGGAGCGTGAGTCATCAGCCGCTTGCAGCCTGAACAACAAGGCAATCTGCTGACCCCCCTCTCCATGAGAGAGTCTCAAACCTCTTCTTGTTCCTTTCCCTGGCGAATTCATCTCGTGGTTTTTGCCTGCAGGAATAATTGTATTACAGTGTGTCTAAATTACAAGCCCTACAGTAGAATCTCAGGGCTAGAAGGAAGGCACGGAGACAATGGCCACAGTTGTATTTAGTTTGGGGGAATTGGGCAGCTCCTCCCCCCCCTCCTATGAGCGAGCCTGTAATAAAATGGAAATGTTGAGAGGCTTGCCTGGCACTGGGCCTGCTCTCTGCGGTACAGACACAGTGCATACACTAGTGGGAGGTGTGGCCTTCTCTAAAACAGCAGCAGTGCTACCATCTATCAGCTAACACAAGCTAATGAAGAGCATACTCAAGTGAAGTGTCAATCGGCAGAGCAGCTGGGAGACAGAACATAGAGGCGGGTGCCATATAGAGGATGAAGAACTGTTCCCTTTGTGTGGGGACATAATGTGAAGCAGAAGCTAAATAGTATCCATTGATATTTACCTTATTTAGCCACTCAACCTTCTCAACATCTGGGAAGTTGACCTGGGAGAAAGAAAGACAATGAAGGCACAGTTAGCTTGTAAAGAGAGCCCGAAATAGACACAAAGGATAAGGAAGTGATTAAGCCATAGCTGATGCATGCGGTCTCTCAATATAATCAATATCACTGTTGATATCATCCCAGTGTTTTCTGCTCTGGGCCATACACAGGGCTAATCATTCTAAAAGAATAGAAGAAAGGCAGACAAGTGCAGCTAATGTCCATTCAACGATCATTTAAAATGTTTTAGCTGGTTACTATGTTGTTTATCCTTGCATTAACAAGACATTTGATATGCATGCTTGAGAGCAGCATGAAGATGCTCCTTTTTGAGTTAGAAGAGAAGTGTGCATGCTGGGTAGATATGCAAGCAATCCCTGAAATCACTCACTGCATTAAAGTATAACAAACAGGAACCTCTTCTGGGTGTGGCTACATGAGTCAAAACAGGCCCATGTGGTAAACAGCATTTCCATTTTGGGTACATAATAAACTCTCAGGATTTATGACATGCAAAGCAGTGTTATACTCCATGCAACATCTCAATCAAATGTTGCAAACACCTTTGACTGAGATTGCACAGTGTGTACAAGTGTTGTTGTACTTGCTGCAGTGCTTTCAGCAATGCTCCATTATTCTTTCAAACAAGTTTAGTCATGACATACTGAGGAATCAAACTCGGAGCAGATTTAGCAAGTGCCTAAGAGGAAATAAAAGTAGGAACAGTGTTACTCGTAAAACAGAAAAAAAAAGGGAGTTCAGGCACAGGCCGTTGCATGTTCCCAAAGCTGCCAAAAGTCATCAAGTAAATTAAATCCCTTTTCAAATAAATTATATTAAATACAACAGCAGTGTTTGGCTTTTATTAAATATGCGGAAGTGAACGATTGCAACCCCCCCCACACACACACACACACACACAAAAAAAAAAAAAAAAAAGAAAAGAAAATCACAAACTGTAGTTGTGATTTATGGGGTTACTCTAGGTCAAAGAGGCTTCAGGTAGGATAGGAAAATTGACTTTAGGGGACACTCGCTAACAGCTGTAGGGTGTTTTTCTTACCCATGCAGGAAGATCTCGTCTGATCTTGGACACTTTAGAGGATGTGTACTCCTCCTCGTTGCTGAGAAATTGAATGGCTGATTGCAGTCGTGCCTCTTTGGCTTCTCGGGCATGTTTCCATCCAGTGTAGACCATCATCCCACACACCAGCAGGCTGGTGCTGACCCGATAGTAGCCGGCCAGGTAAACGGGAAGCATGGCTCCCAGGCATTTCCCGAAGGTCCAGAGCACCGCGACCGCACTGATCCCTTTGGGTTGAGGAGCCTCTGTCTCCGCGGGGACCAACGCTTTCTTCTCGGTCTCGCCTGAGCTCGGACACACGGCGCCCTTGGGTTCACTTGGTTCCGACTTGTCGTTCTGCATAGTGGTATCTTCTTAAATCAATAGAAAATAAGTAAGTTTCCTTCGATAAAAACAATTATTAAGCTTCCTGCGTGTTCGGACAGTTTTTTCTAATGTCCCATTTCCAGTGTCGGCTTGTTAACTTACCGTCTGAACAAATGTAGGCTACTGCAACGTCACCTTCAGCTCAGCGTTTGTCCATGTCGCATCTTACGGTCTGGATTTGAATTCTGTAGCTGATTTGGAGAAGTCCTAAGCACAGGCTCGGGAGAAGTGGCCGACGACAAGTTTTGCTCTTCACAACGAGTACCGTTATGAAGATGAAAACACGCCCACTGGCTGAAGCATTGAACGCATCTTTGACTCTTTCGCTGCTGTGGCAGCACAATCATCAAACTTGAAGTAATCATCGTTATTACTGCGGCACTAGGTTGGCGTCTGCTAAGATGTTCCAAGGCAATGTATTCATACAAATGCTACTTTAATAGTAACTTGAAATGTAACTGTACCTGTCCGGTGAATTTTACAAGGGCTCAATTTTCAAGGATAATATTTAGTCATTTAAACACCTCTTAGTGTCAAATTCTTAATCCATCAATTGGTTTCTGCTGCATCCCCGTTTTGTTTTAAAACAGCAGACTGGGCATTTTTCTCAATCCCTAAATCCCCGGAGCTCACATGCCAGAGCCATGATTCCCAGGCTGCTCTCACACAAACATCACATATTTCTCTTGTTTAAACAGCCACACGGATGTGAGGCTACTGAAGAGGGCAGAGGGTATAATATTAAAGTTTACACAATGTGACTCCACCCAACCAAGTCAAGTAATGACACTATAACATCATGCTAGTCTCAAGAACCTGTATGTCTTGGCATGGTTTGTTTTCCTTACCTCTGTCAACAGTGAATATGAAGACAAGTGTAAATAAAGCTAAGGACAACACAAGATTTATATTTGAGATGTTATTCTTTTTTTTTTTTTTTTTTTTTTTAAATGTGCAAAGTACCAAAGTTAATTTACACCAAAGCAATCCACAAACATATAAACACAAGCTGCTCAAAGTCTTCATGTAGCCATAAAGAGAGCACAGCAGTTTTTCAGAAATGGTACAAACACCACTGGTGACCTTACAGATGAGCCAGTTGGGGCTTTATTTGCATCTATGTGAGAGCAGATACCTTTCATATGGTGGCTGAAAAGCACAAAAAGCCCACAGGCAGGGGGAAGGGGGGCTGAGCATAAAAGTATTTCCTGCCCTCTGCTGGAGAAGTATTGTTTAACCCTTAACATGGGCAATGTTTTTTTCATGTAAAAGAAAAGCATCTATGTTAAAAATCCCTGTTGAGGATGCTACAGTCTGACTTGTGGGTACTACAGTCTTGCACCTTATCAGTTAGTGAGGCAGTGTGGTGATCCTCATGCTTTGACTTGCAATAGGGTACGACACCATTGGGGTGGTGGCGTGACTCATGGTAATGCCTGGCAAAGGCTGCGTCATGGACACTGCCACTGGTGCCACAGAAACAGCAACCGGTGCCATAGAAACAGGTGGCGCCATCCCTTGAGCGATGGTCTGTGCAAGGGCAGCAGAGAGGGGGGGTGATCTCAGGGTTGAGGTGGGGTGGAGGGGCTGTAGGTGGGGCAGCATTTGATGGGGGAGCTGAAGGAGCTCCAGTGGAAACAACAAGGTCTTGCTGCGTGACAGGCCGAGGCTGCAGTCCTGCGCTGCTCAGGGTGGTGTGTGTCTGAGCGATGCCATGATTGTAGGAACTTACAGCGCCAACAGGGGGCGCCATACTCTGCTCAGAGGGTGCAGGAGTGGAGGACAGCGTCATCACCTTGGCTTGGCCCCGGAACTGGGCGTTCTGTTCCAGAAGAACCTCATTTGTGGCAATAAGATTAGAAACCTGAGAAACACACGAGACATGGATTAGAAAAGCTATCGACTGAGTTCTTGACCTGGACAATTCTCTTTTAATCCATTGATCATTTTGTGAATAGGATGTCTCAAGAAATTAAACAATTTAGATCACATTTTCTAAAAAAAAAAACCCAAAAAAAAAAAGTACTGTAATTGTCATGAGTGTAAAAAAAAAAAACAGCATAAAAATGTCACATTAGACAAGCTGAAATCATCCATTGTTGTAAATTGTTATTTTTAAGATTTACTCAAAAAACAAAGGTCAGGCAAACATTTTAAACAACCAGTGTAACCAGTTTAATTATTTGACTGACATACCAGCCTGAAGATGAAGATGTAATATCCCTGTTTGGATAAAAAATAAATTGCTTATGCAAATTCTTCTATGTAAAGCCTGAGAAACCTTACCTCATCTGTCATTTTACAATGAGATATAGCAGATACATTTCAAGTCTATCTACTCTACTCATTTTTATCTTACATTTACCTGCTTCTTCAACTCTTCCACCCTCTTCCTTAGCAAGGAATTCTCCTCCTCCAAGAACCTGAACTCAAGGGGCCGGGGTTGCAAGGTGGCCTGAACTCCCAGCTCGTAGTGGCCTCCTCCTAACCCATCTGTAAAGCGCAGCCCCTCTAACCGCCGCCTCTTCAGCTGGAGAGCAGTGTGGTCCATTGAAGCCTCCAGAGAACCGGCATCAAACAGTCCACTCTCCAGCAGAGGGTCATACACAGAGCACGAGCTCCTGTCATACCGCCGCTGACCTGCAGAATTTATAGACAGACAACCACTCATCCCACCTCCACCCATTCCACCAACTCCAGAGATAACTGGATCTCTACATCCACCCAGGCTGGGGCAGCCCATCCCAATCATGTTACTGCCAACTCCGCCTCCACCTCCTACGAGTCCTTGCATTCCTCCACAAGTACCTCCTCCTCCACCGCCTATCCCTACCCCTGTGTTCACCATTCCGCTGGCACCGGGCCCTACTACACCACCCACTCCAACCCTGGCAGGCTCATATTCAAAGTCCTTTTTGACATGGCGAAATTTACATTTATTGCCCCTCTGGCACTCGCCTTTCAGGAAGTCTCTGCAGATAGGGACCTCCCCACGGCTGTGGGGGAGATCCATTGGCGACAGACCCAGTCGTGCTGCAACTTTCCCTCTGAGTCTGAGGGGTAGCTCTCCTGTTTTCTTGTAATAGTCTTCGTCCTCTTTAGATCCGTGAACAAAGCGGCAGTTGGAGCGCATACACTCCTTATTCTGGTGGTCATGACAGAAGATGAATTCGTTTTTTTGCACTCCCAAGTCTGGCACCTCGTTAAAGTCTGGGTGTCTGAAGCGGCAGCGCTTCCCTCTCTTGCACACATTGCGTATGAAGTCCCTGCAGACACCATCTAACGCCAGTCCTGCCCCTTGCCCTCCACTTCCACCGTTCCCGCAACTGTTACCATTTCCAAGCGCCCCTCCTCCCCCCATGCTGCCAGAGCCAGATAAGTTGCCTCCAACGCTTCCTCCTGAACCCCCTCTGCCCTCCGCCAAGCCCCCTACCAGACCAGACCCAGGCCCTCCTTCTTCACCCAGACCAACAGCACTCCCACCACCACCTGATAGGTAGGAACTGTCCCGGTCAGGCATGGCGCTTGGCCCAGCTTGAGGAGAAAACAGCACTCATGTGTATGATGGGGCTGATGTGACCAGGCGAATGTTATCATACACAGACAGAGGAGTGGAGGATAGCCTTTTCCTTGGAGAAGTGCAATCTCCCGTTCGAAGATCTGTGGGAAAAAATATAAACCAAAGTTGAGCTTTGAAATCAGGAAAACTATGACATGAAAATGACCTGATGGGAACAGTGTACTGAATACACCAAGTTGTTTTAGTATTCTTACATATCGAAGTGGTGGAAAGTATTTGAGAACATTTACTTAGGTGCTGCACTTCAGAACAATGTTGATGCACTTTTTACTTTCATACTCTTAAGTCACTCTGCCAAGTCAAATGACTAATTTAAAAAACAAACACATAAAAAACAATGTAACGCTATACGTTATGATTTATTATTAAAGATTAAGCAGAAGGTGAATAAAGTAACTATGACTTCTGATATTCTGCACACGTTCTTTACCTTTCAGTATATTTTGATGCTCATTGTCGTGTACTGCAAATGGAGCAACATGTTTTTAATTCAACACAGTACGTCCAGAGTAGACTAAGTCATTGTAAACAACACTTTCTCTACAACAAGCAGTAGGTGTCGTTTTCATCACTCATGAAGAGCAGCAGCACAATGTTTGGTTACAATTACAGAAATACTAACAATTAGATGCATATCGTGTTAAGCCTACACGACTACACAGGTTATCCGCTGCTAAACAAGCCCCCTGTGTGTCTCATATATCCCAATATGTAACGTTAAAGCAGAAGTGGTGCAGCGAGCCTGTCTTGCTCGTTGCACCACTTTAGCTTGTTTGGCTAGCGATTAGCGAACCTTTTCTGGCTTACTGGCTAAATGTGAGCCGACCAAAATTGACGCGAGGAGCAGGGTCCAGGATAAGAACCGAGTGAATCCCACACAGAAACATACAACGTCTTCTGATTCTCCCTCTCGAAACTCTCAGTAGACGTGAGCTATTTCTAACAATCCTGTTTACCACTTCTTCTGTTTCTTCTTCTTTTCGGTTAGTTGGCTCTTGGCGACCAGCGTAAAGGTGCATTACCGCCACCTACTGGAATGGAGTAAGACAGGCAGTAAAAACTAAACGAGGAAAAAAAGAAGATAATAAGCACCTTCATTTCTGTCTTTTATTGGGATTTATTTTTACAAATATCATGAATTTATTGTATCGTTTACAAGATCAATTTCCCAGAATATTATGTACTGTGTAGTCATTAGTCAATCATTAATTGTTTGAATTTTCCCCTTAACGTCCTCCTCTCCCCTCATAAAAACTGCAGTTCCTTAAAACATGCTCTATTGATTCACCAATGTAGGTAAATAATCCAGTTGTGTGTTTTCCTATAATGTGAAAAGTGTATTGTTGAGCCCTAGCCTCATGGTTCAACGGTCACATATTATGCAAAATACACTTTACCATGGTTTTCTAACATTAATATTTGTCCCTAGTCAGTCTACAAAACCTCCAATTATGAGAAAAGTCAATCCTCTCCCTCTTTGCCTGCTCCACTTTTCAGAAAATGTTCAAACAGGCTGTTTGCAGATTTTCCCTTTATGACATCCCAAATGGAAGTAAGTAACCCCTCCCTTAGGTGGGTAGAACTCCCACAGCTATAGGTTTTTGATCCTAACTCTGAGTCTGTCTTCTCACAATAAACAATAATAGGGCATGGAACGAGAAAGCCCAAGAAACCCAAGCCCAAGGTTGAACACAGCTGATTTACATTTAAAGCTATAGACACAGAAACAGCCTGTTCTGAGCAGGGCTGAAATGGAAGAGGTTATAGGCATGATAAAATTAAGGATCAACAAGGATTTTTGGCACAAAAAAAACCAAACTTCACAGACATGGTTTGGGGAACTCTGATGCTTATTTAAACTTTTTGAAAGGGAGTAATGTATTAACATTACTGCACCCTCATTTCTTCTACACCCTATTGGGCAGGAACCCAAATGCTGACATGATTAACCCGTTTGCTGTATATATGTATTATGCCGTATATTTCATAGGTGACATCTTGTCTGCATTATTTTCCTGACTTAATGCTGATTAGTGCTGACTGGCTACCTGATGCAATCAGTGTATTGTTTGCCTCAATCCATTGTAATCCCAGTACTATGGCTAAAAGCTCTGCAGTGTAAACTGATGGCCGATCAGTTTCTCTATTTCTGATGTTTGTGTTCTGTGGGATAGAAAATGCTACACCTGCACGCCAGGTGTCCGGGTCCTTTGCGTGCATTAGTGAAAACCAGGCCTGCACATGTTCTTTTTTTTCCTTTTTTTTTTTACAGGACTCTCTGCTGCTGACATGTAAGCAATACTACCATAAACCAAGGCTGCTCTCATACGGGAACATCCCACAACAACCTACACCTAATTTATTTAGTCCTTCTTTCCATAACATGTCACATGCAGGCTTTTTCTACATCAAAAAAGACAGCTACAAGTAGCTGTTGAGCTACAAGTCTACATAAAATGGAACCTTGTTGTATTTCTGCAGTTGTATTTCTTCCTTTACAGAATCCACTCTGATATGGGGAAAACAAATGTTTACTTTGTAGAAATTAATTAGAAGTTTATCCTTTCCATTGTTTTGACTAATTGAGATGTCAATGCAATTGCTCTGTCGTTTGATAGGTATGATTACACTTTCCCTGGTTTTAAGATCGGCACAATAACAGATTACTTCCATTTTGTTGGAATTTCCTGTTTGCCACATGATCCGACAAAGAAGAAGACAACAGCACCGGCGCTTCTTGTTCTTCGAGGTTTATGGAGGTTGGCAAACAACAACTTGGTTTTAACTTTTTTTATAAACAAAAAAGATTAAACAATTTACAAAAAATTAATATGTTTCCAATCAAGTTACTTTGTATAAGCTGATGAAATAAAATGCAATAGTTCTTTTGTAGAATGTCTATTAAATCCATACGCACATTATCCTCCCCTGGTCTTGAATAGGCCATCTTCTTTCTACCTCATATTTCTGACAGTGTAGAATAACCATAGACTAAATAGGACAATACCATGTTCCACTGTTTTCTGCTCTTGTCAGTGTTAATGTCTCCCTCTAGTGGTCCTAATGGCGAGTTGCGCTTAAACAGGTAGGTTATCACCTTTTCACCTATAGGCTGTGGGCTTCACCGTGCTTGCCTTTTCACTGGTTTAAAAGTTTCACAGATTTAAGATTACAGCCATATCGCTTAGTCATACAAAGTATTTATTAAAAGAGGTAATATTTGATGCATTAGCATTTCCCCAAGTCGAACACGTTTTGTGTTTAGTTGAGTTGAAACAGGCGAAACAACTCGAGTCTCAAAGCGGTCATTTGAGTATGCCAGTTCCTCTCGCTGCAGTATTTCAGCCTACAGCTGCAGAGAGCGCTGACGTGTAGAGATAACTGCCAGTGCATACGGAGATGAGCTGTCAAACCACACGGTAGCTGTAATTCCAGATAACTTCTTTATTGTGAAACTGTCTTGAGTTCCTCATCTGTGCACATGAAGTCGCCCAACATGGCAGTGCAAGGTGTTTTCCACTGGATGCAAGCCTGCGTGGTCCTTCAGCTCTGCTTATCTCAGATCCTGCCTGCTTGTGCCTCGGAGGCAAGCAGAAATTACTACGAAGTTCTCAGAGTTGAGCCCACAGCAAGTGACAGCGAGATAAAGAAGGCTTTCCGCAAGCTGGCAGTGAAATACCACCCTGATAAGAACAAGAGCATCGATGCAGAGAAGACTTTCAGAGAGGTTGCTGAAGGTAAGCTAAAACATGCCTGCAATAGCTGAACCTTATGTGTTTAAGTTACAGCCGTTGATTTCTAGATGATTTCTTAATAGGTTTAGGCTTTACAATACATTGTCTGCTATTTATGGATCAACTATATTGTTGTTTTGAAGGGTTGTAGTGCTGATGAAGTGAAATTAGGCTTTTCAGTTTATCAGCACCACAACCCTTCAAAACAACAATAGTGGCCCAAAATGAATGATTGATAAAAAATAAACATATTTTATAGCACAATTGAATGCACCTAATGAACTTACAGCTAACTGTACTTTCATTTCTCAATCCAAACATCTCAACTCTGGGGTCTACTCTTCTAGCCTACAAGGTGCTTTCCAACAAGAAGAAGAGGTGGCTGTATGACAGTGTGGGCCATGAAGCTGTCCTAAATGATAAGGAGACCTCCTATAACCCCGAGGGTGGACATGAGTCAAGTTTCAGTTTTGCAGACTTCTTTCATGACTTCGATGAGAGTTCCTTTGCAGAGGAGCAGGTCTTCCACTGGAGTTTCAGTCAGGATGTGGACGATGATGGCAGTCCCTATGAACATTACAGTTTCGAGGAGCCTGGCTTCAGCTTTTATTTTGGTGATGGGGAATGAATTTGAAGAACAGCACCACTTCCAGCTACCAGCTACCATGCATTGTTGTCCTGTATACAGGAAACCTGTTATGGTTTAATGCATTGTCTTTTATTGATAATAATAAAGTTTTCATTTGAAATGGTTAACTCGGTGTCTGTGTCTTGCATTGAGGATGTAGAAATTGAGGTTAACAAACCTCTGAGTACTTGTGTTTATCTTATAGGAAAATGTATGTTCAGTGGATGTTTACTGTTTGTTTGTTTTTAGGCTGGAAAGTTGACAGCTTGGGGGGAACTTATTGGACCAGTATGCTAGTTTTACTGAGTGGGTGTGTCCAAGTTACTGACTAACATAGAAGTTACACATCTTTTTCTCTGAGCCAGCACTTTACATTTGGCTCTGTTTGACTTCATTTCATACAGGGCCAGCGTGCACTTTGACCGAAAGGAAATCCTGTGCCTGCTCAGCGGTTGGAGAGTGAGCTCTCTAAAGCCAACATTTAGACAAAAGATCTTCACAGCTTATTGCTGTTTTTAGGAAGATAAAGTGGGATTGAAGAATTTTACAAAGCAGAGAAGGACGTACTGGAAAGAATAACTGTCAAGTTATACAATGATGGTAAGTATGCCTTCAAATGCTCTCTCTGCCAACCTCTGACAATCATGTGACAGCTTTTTACTCCATGCAGACATATATTGTTGCTAAGGGAAGTTTTTAATATCCTTTAATCTCAGTTTGCATAATTAAAAAAAAGTAAGAGGAGTTGTGTTTTAAATCAAAACAAGTTTGTTTTGAGTGTTTTCCTTGACATGTAGTAATTATCTTGCATACTAATGTGATTTTACTTTACGCAAATATCGTCTCGCTAATGTTGCATGTTGAATGTTACAGGAAGAGGTTAAAGAAGCTACATCAGCTCTGAGTGTCCATAGTCACAACATCAAGGTTACAGAGTTGTTGAAAGACGGGGACACTCTCACCTTCCTTGTTATATCTCAAAAAGTAAGAAAACCTTGTTTTTACTTGTTTGCTGCCAACTTTGTTTACACTAGATCTGTGTACATGTGTAAATCCAGAGGGGCAAGTCTATTTTATTTATTTGAATGACAATGTTGTCAACACAGAAAGTTTGGGGTGTCATGATGTCTCTTTTGTGTGGCAGCTGTCGGGGACTGGAGAGTTCCATGTGGTTCGGATCTACGATGACTTTGAGTGGCTGCAGCAGCATCTTTTCTCCCAAGAGGATGTGCCCGGGTTGCAGGGAGTCATAGTCAGTTCTATTTTTTTCTTTTCTTTTTTTGCAAGCAGACCCCTTTGTAAACCTTTGCACAGATTTCCGCCCTGATGGTTTGTTAGAGCTGAAACATGTCTGTCACTCACTCACTCATGTCAGGCTTTGTTATGTTGTATTTTTAGGCTCTTAATTTGAAGCTTTATTTACTTCCAGCGTTCCAACTTGAAATGAAGTGTTCCTGTAACACAGACCAAGTATCTGAAGGCTTCCGTGTGCCTTCTTTACCTCCTCCTATTCTTAATGATGTGGAAACTGATTCATTCAGTCATTGTGCCAGCTGCCCTAGTTTCTGTTAAAAAAATAGGTAGAAGCTCTGTGGCCTGTTATTGTTATTTTTTATTATCATCCATGCACTTTACATTTAAAAAAAAGTACTAACCTTATTTGGTTCATCTATCAGGCCAAGCACCTAATGGGAAAAACAATTATGAAGAAATCAATAGATACATCTTTGAACATCAGTATGCAAAATAATAAAAGTCTACTCTCTTCTTTCTTGAAGTTTCCTCCTCTTCCTCCGAAGGCCCAGGTGAACCCATCTGCCAAGGTGATGAAACAGCTTGGTGAGTACATCTGATAACCACCTCCACAAAACAATGTGAAAGATCAAAAAGATAAATTAACGGACTATATTTTTCATTCCTGTGTCTTTTCTCTTTTTAAGAGTCAATGTGATATGAGGTGTTCAAAGTGTTAAAAATGTTGATGGTTTTCCTGCAGGCCTCCTTGGTTTGGGAGAGTGGCAGCCGTACTGTAAAGCTATGGAAACCTTCATCCGGCAGGTTGCTGCACACAGCACACTCAGCAAAAATACAGCTCTGGAAATTTTCCTTACAAGCGCAGATGTAAGTGAACACAAATGAACAGCTATTTATCAGTTGGTTTTATTCATACATGTTTTAACATTAAGCTCAGGTAAAAGGGAATCGTTTCATATTGCGAAAAGGTGCAACGTGATGCCTTTTGATGAAAAAGACCAGCAATAAATGGCTAAACTTTCACTGACTTTTCAGAGACAAAATAGCAACATGACACAACAGTTGTGTCCTCATGTCCGCACTTGGATGTATCTATTGTATGCATGCTAGCCTGTTATCAGCTGTAATGTGAACTTAAAAGAGAGTGGTTAGGACACAGCTACAGTGCCATTGTTGGATAGAGAAATATCAAACAGGCTGGTGAAATGTCATGAAAAGAGAGCACCAAAATGTTTCAAAGGGAAGTTAGGTTCACTGAATAAACACAAGCGTGCTGTGCCTGCAAATATTACCGAGAGCGTGCAAAAAGACATGACTTTGTTCTTAAGTGCACGTATAAAGTTAACAGCTTTAATCAGATGCAGGATTCTAACTAAATAGAATGATTAGCTTAAAGAAACTTTTTTTTGAAGCAATACATATAATTAATTCTTTATAGAGTCTATTATAAACAGATGTATGCATTATGAAAGCAGGAATGAGTACATAGAGTTATAGTTTACTATTTAAAAGTCAGAGTTTCTGTCTGTCAGTGCTCATCCTGAGACTTTTGAACTCAATAAGAATTAAGTTTTATGCTTAATGTTAGTTAGTTTGGGGGCGCTGTTGGCCGAGTGGTTAGGGTGCGCGTCCCATGGACAGAGGCTATAGTCCTCAAAGGGAGCTTCAAATCCAGGGTTCAAATCCAACCCGTGGCTCCTTTTCCTCATGTATTTCCCCACTCTCTATGACCCTGATTTCCGATTCTATCCACTGTCCTCGTTCTCCAATAAAAGAACAGTCACAAAAAGCCCAAAAATAAAATAAAAAATGTTGTTGTTAGCATCTCGTTTTCTTGCATCATCGTTCTCTGGCCTGTAGGCATCCTCCCATGTGAGGAAGCTTTCATGCACCTTGTTTACTTTGCAAAAGAAGCAGTATTTACTTGAACAAACGTTACTTGTTTATTTTTGATCTTGTGTGCAGCCACCAGGCAAACAGAAAGCAAGGAAAGGCATTTTCAACCGGCTGAGCCATGCTGTGGAGGAAAAGAGGAAAAATGGCCATAAGGTACGCAACAGGCACTCAAACAAACCAATGATGCAGCCTCTACACCTGTATGTTATGTTTTTATTGTGATACTATGTGTGTCCGCAGGACGTGGATGAGTTCTTTCAAACTGAGCGTGATCATAACATTCTTCTGACTGGCTGCACCAAGACTGCAGCTGAGGTGAGCCAGACAACTTTATTTATTATTTTCTTGCCCCCCTCCCCCTTTCCCCCCTTATATAAGCAGACCAGATTGTGTTTTCTACAAATAAGGCTTTGTTCTTCATACAGAAATTCCTGGATGTGGTGCTGACTGAGCAAAGTAAGGAGACTTTTGCTTTTTAGTTTGAAGGTTTAAAAAGACAAACATGAAGTGCTCACCAGTTTGTGTTATATGGGATTTATTTTTGTACAGATTGAGCGGTTGATATTTGTTGTAGGACAGGTAGATCATTAGTGTGACCCAAAACAACAGCGCAAATTGTATTTGTCCCAGGTCTCATGTTAGTTTTTGGCTCCTGTTTTCTTTGTTTGCAGAAATAGCGGTGGCCTGTGGGCACTTCGCCGCTGCCTTGCAACTCTTTGTGGAACCAGGGGAGGACCCAGCCAAACAAGCTTTCACAAAGTGAGACAAATAGTAGCATCAGTTACATGCAAACATCACATAAAGTAAAAGTAAATGCGTCTGAAATCTGCATACAAAATGAAATATGAGTATGAATAACAAAAGTAGAGAAAATTAACAACACGTTCTTCTTATAGGGCTTGTGTGAAATTATCTGAGGTCTTTAATTCTATACAGGTAAGTTTATTCTCTTTAATAGAATAAAAATAAATATGATGAAATACTCATCTGCAGAGGAGATCTGCAAGTCATGTGCTTGTGTGTGTGTGTGTGTGTGTGTGTGTGTGTGTGCAGAAAAATATGACAAGTGTTGCTGAGAACAACTTCAACACTGTCGGTCTAGGCCTGGACCTGGATTCACGCTACCAGGAGGCCGAAAAGGTTTGTCTGCTATAGTTCTCATTAAATGTATGCTTTCTTTACATGCAGCTCTGTTGAATACGATCATTTGTCATTTCTAAAACTTCACATGGCTATAATTTCTTAAACAGGAAATGCTCTTTAGGAGAACCTGTAAACTGGTGGAGATGGAGAATGCAAGAAGGAATGCAGAGAAGGCCAAACCTGCCAAGAAAGCTGCTGTGAGTGTCCAAACCAATGCATTACAATTTGTAAATACTATGATGTGACCAGCAGGTGTCAGTATTGTTCTACTAATATTCTGTGCAAGAGGAAAGATTAGACCAAATCTGGTAAGATGTAAGAATTGAGTATAGCTTGTTAATTTACTGTGATTAGGACAACTTGTATACTGATGATGACATGCTCTTCATATTAATCAGATGGAGGAGGCGAAGGAGGCAGCAGAGGAAGACTTTGCTCAGATTTGTGAAATGGCTAGAAACGAGGTAAAATGTCACAATTATTTTCCACAGTGTCTCAAGTGAGTTGTGTAACCCCCTGTTTGTTTACATCTATATATAGTATTTGTTTTGACATGCTTTTTTTTTTTTTTTTTGTCCCCCCAAGATTAAACACTTCCAGAACGTGCGTGTGGAGATTTTCCACCAGGCTCTGGTTCAGTGGTGTGAAAAGCAGCTTCTTACAGCCAAAGAAAATGCTGACCTGTTCAACCAGCACCTGCAGGCCTTTAAAGAGATGGCCTAGTGACCCCACTGGATCCCTCCTAATGAAGCGTCCTCAGTGTGTCTAAATGTAGCATTGGATATGACCTAAACAGGTCCTTCAGCTTGTTTTGGCCTGCTTATTGTAGGCCGTTTTTTTCTCTTTTTAAAATCTTAAACAGTTAAAAAAAAACATGTCACGAAGAGGAATTGAAACCTTTGTGATAATAAAATCATATTTGTTCTGTGTTTGCACTCGTTCCAATAAAGCCTGAGTTGAAGTGATGGTTTGGATTTCTCAGCCTTGGACTTTTCTAAGGCCATTGCAGGAGTGTGACTGAGTGTGCATGTGGGCTTTTCTACGCTCATACATTTGTGCTGAGAGTGGTATTGTGCAGCTCTCTAGCCACTATACCAGCCAGGGTCACACAAAATAAAGTGTGATGAATTGATTCCCAAAGTACCTGCTAGCCTTTGTATGTGTTTCTCACTCCTGGAGCATTAATCAGTTTGTTTGACTGCTCCTTCAAGGACGTGGCAGCAAGGACACTCTGCACTGCCTTTTAGTTCAGAAAACTATTTTAGCTTTGTGAATATCTGTTAATTATCTTGCATACAGTTGCTCTATTTTTTGTTAAAGTCTAAAACTTGTAAGTGTGATGTCTCTTCCAAAACTACGACATGGTTAACTGAGATTTCTAGCACATAAGCCCAATGTCATCCTCCCCTTCTCTGTCTGCTATAGACTGAAGGTCCATATCTCAGCCCTGCTGAGCTCTTCATCTCATCTGTTCCAGCCTGTAATCTCTCCGTTGGGCGAATAAGGAGGAGTGGTTCCCATTTCAGGAAATGAGTCAGAGAGAGATCGATGGCAGGTCTCATAAGAAGAGCTGCAGAGAGGAGGTCTCGTTCATTTGACACATTGTAGGAGTAGATAAAGGGCAATCGTGCCGCTGAGGGCCCACAGTGTGTTTGCTATCCACCTAAACTGAATATTTTGGAATATTTGGTATATTCTTGGTTGGGATAAAGCTTCCTACATTTTTTTACACTCTGATATAACATCTATATTCCTCCATAATAACTGGCTTTATACCATTTCTCAGCATAGATAAAAGTAACAATAACTTTTATTTAAAAAGCACTTTAAATGCACTCAAAAATCAGTTACGTAACACTTAACGATAAAATTAAAACTTGCAACAAAAAGTAAACACAAATTGACAAATAATAAACCAAATAATAAGGAAATAAACATGAAGGCAAAAATAATTGATATCACATTATATAAGACATAAGTGCACCTGTGCACATTCAAAGGACAAATCAGCCCAGTGAAGAAACCCCTCATCCCAATCACAAAAAGTGGAAAGGGATACAGAAAGGAGAGTCTGCAGAGAGATGTTAGAAGGAGCAAAGGGGAGGCAGAGCCAGAGCAAGGAACTTGTTTACTAGAGCTCACCCCTGTTGTGATAGGCTTCATACTCTACTTCCGCAAAAGATAGCAAAGATTGCATAACTTTAAGAAATGCTTAAAAAACAGTGGTACAGTGGTGTGTGTGGTAGCACTGTTGCCTCACAGCAAAAAGGTTTCCAGTCTAAATCTTCCGCCATGGCGTTTGTTTTTGATTATCATGATGGAATAGAAAATAAAAAAAACTTTTATAGTAAAGCACTGCAGGGTCGTGTAAGGAAACACCACTGCTAACATTAAGCAGGTTGTTGGTTCAGATCCACTGCTTATGGTCCTTCTTAGGAAATATCATAATGTAATGGAAAAACTTCAACAGGATAGGGATGCAGAGCAGCATGTTGGTGTAAAGGTTAGCAATGCACCTTTCAGCAGAAATGTTGTGGGTGTGAAACCCTGGGGCTGGAACATTTCTTAAATGTTATAACAAAATGTACTTTTTTAAGAAAATGCCACAGTGTGCTAATGTGGTCAAGGTGTAAGGCTGTCTCTTCCTCAGAAGGTTGTAGGGTTTGAAACTGCTGACTATCCAGGAGGTTTTTCTGCGAAGAGCATGCAAGTTCTCCCCGAGCGTTAATCAAGAGTGTGGAGACCCTCTTACTTTGCACTTACAGAGGATAAGTGGTGTGGTGGGTAGCACTGCTGCCTCACAGCGTGATTGTTCTGTGCTCCAATCCCCCAGCTGGGGCCTTTTTTAAAAAAAGATCATTATGTAATGGAAAATATCTACTTGCACAGTAGATTGGAGGTGTTAAGGGTAGCAGAATTTAAAAAAAGAAATACAATGCAACAAAATAGATACTGAAGCAGAAAAAATACTTTAGATACTACCCAGTGGTGTACAGGGTAGCACTGTAGCCTTGTTATAAGAAAGTTGTGGGTTTGAAGTTACTGGTTGGTTAGGGCCTTTTTGTGATGATCATGCACATGTATATGTGGGTTAATGGAAAGTATTTTTTGAAATCCTCCTCCAAAAATAAAAAAAGACGTGCCGGTCAGGCTAATCATTACCCAAAATAAGTGTGGAGAGTGTGAGAGACCAATAGTATTTAGCAATAGGAGCATCTCTTCAGAAATATATTTAGGCATTGCTATATTTTGAGCCCAGTGCTGACATGTTTAAAATGGTGCTAGTAAATGAGAAGAGATTCACCGCACACAAGAAGGCTGAATGAGTTATTTCGATTTAAAGTATACTCAAACAAACAACGCGTTTTGCCCGCATGGCTTCATCAGGTTCGTGGTAGCAAGAACAGTCGTTTAGGTCAATGTATTTTTCCCTATTGGCTTTGAATGCATCCCCATAGAAGTAGGTCAACTCCTTCCCTAGTCCAGGTCCATAAAATGGCCTGAGCTTATTTAAAGCACCTGTGCCAACATGGCTGTCTCTTCCTTTGTCTCTGCCTCTAGGTAGACATATGGGGTTCCCTGTCTGTGACTCTGTGGAAGGTAATGAGGTCAAAAGATTGTTTCAAGTTTTGATTAAGGTTGGTTAAGTGATTTTGCATTTACTTCATGATAAGTATGTAATTATTTGGAGGTAAGTCAAATTCTAAGGTAGTGTAAATATACTAATAACATGTTGAATTCCGTAACTGCCTGACTGATACTACGTTGTAGTTTTTTCTTTAATATTTTTGTTTTTCCCTTCAGTGGAACTGGTGGCCAGTTCCTCTTTGCTGATTTGAATTATTTCTAACTAGAGACACACACACAAAATAAACTACATTGCTAAAGAACTTATGTTAAATAAACCTTTTGATACTTTTCATAAAATATTTGACTTTCATTATGTAACAATTATATTCTCACCAGCACTTTCATCATCAGTTATCAAATAATTATTAATACATTTGCATTTCCTTTGGAAACTGGTCTGTCTTGCTTCAGTTATTGAAGCATTGTTGCCTTTATGATCAAGTATGTTAAATATTTCTGAGGTGAAAGCCCTCAGGTGGCATTGCTGAGTAAGTTAGATTCTGGTTTAGGGTTGATTAAACACCCCTACTGCCCTTACCACATGCACTAACAGGCTTAAGTGTAGCAGAGTACAACCATGTGTAGCTTGTAAGCATGATAGCCTTTACCTTTACGGCTGAGGTGAAAATAGTTAGAAAGCAAATAATCACAAACCTCAGTATCTTTGATAACTACTAGACTATGTGAAAGGTTGACCTGCAGGAGACTCCCACGTAAAGTCAGGGGATCAACCAAGACAGATTTGTCATTTGGGCACCAAAAATATTTGTATCAATCCATGGATGGTAATCTTGTTTGCTCTGAATGTCATATCTTCTATCTGACTGTTAAGATAATTCAGTCACAGACCTACTGATACACAACAGTTACAATCTAAAGCCTACACTTCAAATGTGTGAAGTGTCAAATGACCACAAGATCTTCTAAAAGGGCTGTTTAAATCTGCTTAATTAAAAAATGAAAATCGGCTTGTAAGAAGTCCCTTTTAAAGAATGTATTTTGGGGCTTTTTGATACAGTGGATAGAGTAGGAAATCAGGAAAGAGTGTGGAATGACATGCAGGAAAGTAGCAGCAGGTCAGACTTGAACCCGGTATGCCCGTTTGGAGGACTATTGCCTCTTTACATGGGGCGTGACCTAACCTAACTGTGCCTAACGAATTGAATCTCAGTATAAACCTGTTTTTTTTAACAGCATGCAATTGTTTCCCTTGTATACCTCCTAATTTAATGGAGAGAAACATTTACAGTATGTTTATGACACGCCATCCCTGATCGCCATGTAGCTGTTTATACTGAATCTTAAATTGTTGACCTTATAACAGAAGACATTGGCTCTCAATACAGTACTCACATTTATTTGTCATTAAATCCAACAATTTCACCGCTAGAAGTTTGTGTTCATTTTTGTGGTTTATTGGTTTTAAAGAGGTGCAGTAGAAGTTAAATGTTAGAAGTTTATGGAGCATGGTTTTACTTCCTATTCAGAGTGCTTCAATTTACTCGGAAAAAAAATTATCTGTGAAATTGTGGGATATTGAATAAAATGAATTATACTGTACTCACAGTAGCCGATACAAACATAAAATGTAATTAAAGATAATTATGGCATTCTTTCTTGCATGTCATTATTATTGGTCAAGATTTTCTGTCACTATAATAGGAGCAGAGAATTCCACAACAGGGGAGCCACATTTTTTATTCTCTCACTGCAGCAGCCAGCTACCTCACAGGGTGAGTGCACATGGGCACAAACACACACGCACAAACACAAATAAGATCACTTCTCAACTGCTGAGAGCGTGACCCAGATCAAGGACGTGGAGCTCGTTGCAATGCTCTGTGCGCTCAACTGTGTGTGTGTGTGTGTGTGTGTGTGTGTGTGTGTGTGTGTGTGTGTATCCCATTGAAAACGTGCACTCAGAGCTGATTTGCTAAAGTAGCTCATTACTGGTGGAAAGGCAACATTCAGCACAGAGCCCTTTGGCCTGACAGAGATTGCTTTGTGAAGTTTGAAGTGAAGGCAGTAGTTTATCTGCATACGCAGCATGACAGAGCCTTATGACTCAGCCATCCCATCAAAGCTACACTTCACCAGTTTAAAGAGGATGACAACTTGTTGGATCTTAAAATAATATGAAGGCAGGCCACAGATGATTGGCACTTTTTAATAAGTGTTAACACAGGAGGCGTTTCATGATCTACACTCATTCTTTGGTGTCTTGTGTCATTAATCTGCGCTAGGTGATTTGTATATGTTGTACTTAAATTGGCATAAAGGTAATTTATGCATTTTCTGAGTTATTTCATGTCAGTCCATGAATCTATTGTT